GTCTGGGTTACCTCACTTAGGATGATTGTTTCCAGTTCCGTCCATTACCTTTAAATTTCAAAATTTTGTTGTTCTTAGCAGCTGTATGATACATTATTGTGCAAATGCAGCATACTTTCATTATCTGTTCATCAGCTTATGAATAGCTAGGTTATTTCCATTTCCTGGCTATTGTGACGAGGGCAGCAATGAACAGGGATGACCAATTATCAGTATAGTAGGATATAGACTACAGTCCTTTCAGTATATGCCCAAAAGTGATATGGCCGGATCATATGGTAGATGAGCTCCTACCTTTTTAGAAACATCTACACTGATTTCTATAGTGGCTGTACCAGTTTGGACTCCCACAAACAGTGGAAGTAAGTGTTCCCCTGTCCCCATATCCTTACGAGCATTCGTCATCATTTGCTTTTTGGAACTTAACTATTCTGTCTGGGGTAAGATGAACTCTCAAAGTAATTTTGATGTCCATTTCCTGATGGCTAAAATGCTGAACACTAAATTAAAAAATTATCACAGGCATTTGTGTTTCATCTTTTGGGAAATCTCTATTCAGTTCCTTGCCTCAATTTTTAATTGTTTTTTGGAGGGGGGGTTATGTTCAGTTTTTGAAAAATTTTTGTATATTCAGATACTAACCCTCTGTCAGATGTAAATCTCATAAAGATTTTTCCCATTTTGAAAAGCTGCCTCTTCACTTGAATAATGGTAGCCTTTGCCTTACAGAAGCTTTTTAGTTTCATGAGGTTCCATTTGCCAAATTTTCCTTTTAGTGCCTGAGCTATTGGAGTCCTGTTCAGAAAGTCCTTTCCTGTGCCTTTAAGTTCCAGTGCATTCCGTACTTCCTCCTCTAATTGGATTCAGAGGATCAGGTCTTATGCTGAGGTCCTCCATCCATGTAGAGTTGAGGTTTGTACATGGTAAGAGAGGGATCTAGTTTCATTCTTCTATGTGCCACAGTCCAGTTTGACTAGTATCATTTGTTGAACATACTGTCTTTTCTCCATTACGTATTTTGGCCCATTCATCAAAAATAGGTAAAGTGCATGGACTTAAATCTGGATCCTCAGTTCTATTCCAAGGACTGGAATAGAAAAACAGACATTTTCTCCAAAAAACAACCACTGTCTGTTTTGTGCCAGTACTAAGCTGTTTCTTATTGCTGTAGCTCCATAGTATAACTTGAAATCTGGGGGTGGTGATGCCTCCAGTAGGTATTTCATTGTTACAGATTGTTTTGACTATTCTGGAGTTTTTTGTTTGTTTTTTAGTGTGTGTTTCCATATGAAATTTGAGATTATTTTTTCAATTTCTGTGAAAAATTGGCTTGGGATTTTAACGGAGTTGTATTGAAACTGCTTTTGGTAGGAGGACCATTTTCACAGTACTAATCCTACTGATCCATGAGCATGGGAGATCTTTCCAATGGCTGGTATCTTCTATTTCTTTTAGATTTCTGAGTTTAGTCAGTGGAGGTTTTTAAAGTATGTTCTTGTGATTCTTTGAATTCCCTCAGTATTTGTGTTAATGTTTCCCTTTAGGTATAAAATTTTTTAATTTCTGGTTTTAGTACTTTGAGTCCTCTCTCATTTTTCTTTTGGTCAATTTGGCTACATAGTCATCAGTCTTGTTAATCTTTTCAAACAACCAGCGCTTTGTTCCATTGATTCTTGTTTGTTTGTATTTCATTAATTTCAGTCCTGATTTTAGTTATTTTTTCCCGTCTTCTCTTGTCGGGTGTTGTTGGTTCTTGTTCTTCCAAGGCCTCCTGGTGCATCGTTACGTTATTAACGTAAGCTCTCCCTAGTTCTTTGATATAGGCCCTTAGTTCTATGAACTTTCCTCATGGGACTGCCTTCATTATGTTCCATAGATTGTGGAATGTTGTATTACCACTTTCACTCAATTCTAGAAAAATTTTAATTTTCTTCATGATTTCTTTCTTGATTCATTTTGTCAGTAGTATGTTGTTTCTATTGTTGACATTCAGCTTTATTCCTTGTGGTGGGAGAGAATACAGGCTATTATTTCAATATTTCTAAATTTGTGAATAATTGCTTTGTGTCCAATATGTGGTTGATTTTGAAGAAAGTTCCATGGTGTTTGTGTGGAATGTCCTGTAAGTGTTTCTTAGGTCCATTTGATTTAGGATGTCATTTAGCTCCAGGGTTTCTTTAGTTAATTTTTGGCTAGGTGAGACTATTGGTAAGACTGAGGTAATGAAGTCCCCACTCTCACTGTGTTGGAGTCAATCTGTGATTTTTAGATCTTCTAGTTTTTCTTTTATGACATTGGGTGCCTCTGTGTTTGGTGTATATTTGTTTAGGATTGTAATAGCCTCATGGTAGCATTTTTCTTAAATGAAGCCAAAATGTCCTTTCCTATCTCTTCTGACTAGTTTTAGTTTGAAGTCTATTTTGTCAGACATTATGATACCTATGCCTGTTTGTTTCTTAGTTACAATTTCTTTTCCATCCTTTTACCATAAGGTGGTGTCGATCGTAGAAGGTGAAGTGTGTTTCTTAGATGCAACAAAAAGATGGAACCTGTTTTCTAATCTAGTCAGTGTTTTTTGTTGGAAATTTGTATCACTAATATTGAGAGTTATTTGCCAATGTTTATGAAATCTTTTTTATGTTGGTGTTGTAGTCTTAGTTTTCTAGACCTCTTTTGGTTAACTGTTCTGGACTTGTTTGTTTATTCCTTGTGCCCTTTCAAGTATGTTTAATCTTCTCTTCAGACCGAATTATTCCTTCTTTCATCCTCTGTGGGGCTGGCTTAGTGGACATAAATTCCTTAAATCTGTTTTTTCATGGAAACTTTTTCTTTCTCCTATTAAAACTGGGTATTTTACTGGATATGGTAGTCTGAGCTGGCATCTGTGTTCTTTCCTGACTTACAGGACATTAGTCCAAGCCCTTCTGGCTTTCAGAGTCTCCATTGAAAAGCCAGCTGTTATACTGATTGGGTTGCCTTTACATGTGACTTGATTTTTCTCTTGTGCAGTTTTCAATAGCTTTTCCTTCTGTACAGTTAGTGTTTTGACAATTATATATGGTAGGGAGCTTCTTTTCTGGTCCTATCTATTTGGTATTCCCTATGCCTCCCGAGGGGAGCCAAAGTTTTGTAGAATTGACCAGGATGTTCCAGTGCAAAGATTGCACAACCCAAGCTAGGTCCTGGGGAGGGGAAAAGCAGAAAGAAAATACTGGAACTGGGAAACTCATAGGTCTGACTCATAGGTCTCTCCTGGGGAGGGGTGCAGGGTCCTAGCTAGACCTAGGAGCTGGGCTGTTGGGCATGGAATACTGGGCTGAGAAACTCATAGGTTTGGTAGAAGTCACAGATCGTGGTGGAACATCAAGCTGCATGACCAGAGCAGGCCTGGGTACTGGGATGGCAATTAATTTTTGATCCATTAAGAAGATCAGCATTATCAGATGCACTGCTCTACAAGTAATCTTGAAATATAACAGTTCGTGGTAACTGCTCAAGGGAAATGTGTAGAGTAGGTAAGTAAGAATAACAAGTAATTTTAGTTCATGACAATTTCAAACTATTTGGCATCTCTGTTTAGGGGCAGATAATCATCAGGCTTGGGACGAAGAGCTAACCTTATAAGCTCAGAGTGGCTAGATTCAAACAATAAAGCTCTTGTGTGTTCTGTTTGATGACTTAATACTTTTTATCTCTGTTCTTCCCATAAAGACATGGTTGGACTTTACCTTATTCAATCCATACATCATTCTTTTTTGTAAGTTAGCATTTTGGAATAGAATGACTTAAAATACATTTGCAACCCTCTTCCCCTTAGATCCACATGCCATGGTGATTTTAATGTATGCAGGGTCTCTGCAAGGATGCTTCCTTTTCTGTGGTCTTGCTACGCCACTGTCTGCCCGAATAAAACTAAAGGGCTCCCCTATTGACCATTCAGGGTGTTCTCACAATTGCAGAAAGTTATGCTTTACATGAAGTGGACATGCTTCCTTTGCATTCTGTCTTAATATATTAATAACATTTCTATAGTAATAAATCCACTAGTGGTGGTAAATATTCCCAATGTCCTGTTGGAAGTTGCTTATCACTTCCAAAGGATTTTTGTTAAATAATACTGTGCTTTTTAAGGTAGATCTCATGAAAATTATTTAAAAAGAAATTAATGTTAATTCTCTTCTTTCCAGTGTCATTCATATGACCATCCAAACATGTTATATTTCTTCCATGTATTAAGATACTGCTGCTGTTCACCTCACTCTTGAGATCCAGCCCTGACATCTGTTTCATTATGTGTACAGATTACAGAGATCTCCTGAGAAGGTCACTGCTTTTCTCCGTCCTCTACTTGGAAACCTACAATCACTGCATTAATAGTCTCTCATCAAAATTACTAGCAAAAGTAAACCCTAGAGTTTTGGTATCATATCAGTAATAAGGTTATGCACTTGGGAGCCACTTTCATGGCTGGTGTGCCTCAACTATTTTTGAACTTTTCCTTACACTCCATAAATTTGCCTTCTTTCCTGTGTCTTTTGGCCTCAATGCGTGATCTCTTTCAGATGAAACCGAATACATATGCACCTCATTTTGAAGCACGCAAAGTTACAGGGTTATATCTGTTACACAGCATGTAAGCCCGGGCACCATGGATGAGGCCCCACACTTGGACCATGAAAACTTGGTCAGACCCTCATTACTTTTGCAACCTCTGCCTTGAATTTCTTCTGGAGATGTAGGAAACAGCATGTGATGATCTCTAAGCGGTGATTAAGACTTTCTGGGGTTTGTAGGGATAAGACAAGGACTCTGATATCATGTCCCTGTAGTCTCTCAGGACATTGGCAATGCCCCCTACTGAGAACAAGGAAAGAAGCCAGCACTTCAGATAAGAAAGAAAGGGTAATGCCTTCTGTAACTTCAACCACATCAATCACACCCAGGCAAGGAAGATATAAACGAGATCGACTCAGCTCCCAGTGAAGGCCCTTCCTGGGAAGATGAAGTCCGCTGTCTTCTTCATCCTTCCTCTGCTCCTCATTCTGGAGAAGCAAGCATCCGGGATTGGAATCTATGGTGAGTGTAGAGTGACCTGGCAGAAAGGCTCACTGGGAGAAGCTCCGTAAGGGTTCTGTGGGAGTGCTTCTTCTTGGTGGGCTTTGAGAGTTTTCTCTATCAAATTCACTTCTCTTATGGACAGATCAATGAGCAGATGAGGAAAATTCCGGGATAAGACTTGAAAGGGAACTGTCCAGATAATATGATTCAAACATTCTTGTTATCAATTACCAGGTGAAGCGAAGGGCCACTTTCCAGTTAAATCATCCCAATTTCTATTTGGTCAAAAAGGCAGTTTCCAGTATGGGAGGAAAGGAGCACGTGATGATGAACCTGAGGAAAATATTTTTATGCAAACTAAACACCATGGCCATGGCCAAGATGCTGACATGGAACAGACACAAATTTCACGGGAACATATGGGTCTGAAAGAAGACGCTCTTTGTGATGAAACAGAAATGGCCCAAGTAAAATCCTACATCCAACTAAACTCCCAGGAATCCCAACTAAAATCCCAAGGAGGTCAACGAGAATCCCAAGTCCAACTAAAATCTCCATTAGCTCAAGTAAAATCCCAAGGCCAACCAAAGTCCCAATTCCAAGTCAAATCCAGATTTGCCCAAATAAAATCTCAAGGCCAGCTAAAATCTCAAGGTCAACTAAAATCTCCATTCACCCAAGTAAAATCCCAAGGTGGTCAACTAAAATCCCAGTTCCAAGAAGATTCCCAATTAGCCCAAATAAAATCCCAACAAAGCCAACTAAAATCTGTAGACGGCCAACTAAAATCCCAATTCCAAGTCAAATCTCAATTTGCCCAAATAAAATCCCAAGGCCAACTTAAAAAATCCCCATTCACCCAACTAAAGTCCCAACAAGGTCACCTAAAATCCCACTTTTCCCAAATAAAATCCCAAGGAGGTCAACTAACATCCCCTTTTGCCCAAATAAAATCCCAACGAGGCCAACTTAAATCCCAACAAGGCCAACTAAAATCCCAAGGTCAACTAAAATCCCAATTCCAACTAAATTCCCAATTAGCCCAAATAAAATCCCAACAAGGCCAACTTAAATCTCAAGTCCAACTAAAATCCCCATTAACTGAACTAAAATCCCAACAAGCTTTTTCTCAGCAAACTAAGCATAAAGGATATGCCATGAATGAACATCTGTCACAACTTCGTCACCAACATGAAGATGCACAGCAAATAAAAAGAAGCCTTGGTCAATCCACAGAAACAGCAGAATTCTTACCACCATTTGGACACCAACACTCACAATCCTATGAGGGATATCTTGTGCAATATCAACAACAACTACGGAACCATGCTCATCAAACAAAATCTCTCAATCAAGACCAAGGGGAATGTCACTGTTCACGTGGTGGAGCAATTGTGTATCAACAGAGATTTAAAGTATAATGTTCACTGACCAATTAAGGACCAGGACACATTTTGAGGTAAGTTACTTTACAAATAGGGGTGAGCTCTATCACAGTGTTTATAAGCAGTGCATGAAGACTTCCTAGGCCCATTATGGAATTGAAAATGAAAGTCTACCACAATGGAAATTCTGTGTTACAAATTTTATGAAGATGAGCATCATTGCCTGGTGAGGTAAACATTAGGTACAGGCAGAGAAAGCCACTGGGCTATCACAGTGCCTAGAATTCCTCTCCTTAGTGAGTATTTTCTGTAGATTTCTTCTGCATATAATGTAGCTATTACTTCTTTGAACACTAACGCTTATAAAATGATACAAGTTTCATTGTAATTGTGTTACTTCTTATGTTTTAGATTAGTAAGGCTCAATGTGTTGCTGCATTATTATGAGGTATTATTGTATTAACTATTTTTAGCATGCCAATAAATATTCTTCAGTCCCATTTAGTGTGCATCTATCTTTTAGAGATCGCAGATCCATGGATTTTTGCTCTGCCATTAGGAATACAGGCAGTAGATGAGTCCAAAAATCCTTGTTTGTGATACAGGAGATAGGAGACAGAGGCATGAGGCTAGTGAGGAACCACAGTTCCCAGGTGCATAGTCACACTATTGGGAGAGAAATACAAACCCTGAGGAGGGAAAATGATGCTCCTTGCATGTTTGCATTAAGCAATACTTCATGTGAAGAGAAGGAAAGCAACAGAATCATGGACCCAGTGACTAGTAGTGATTAATATTCCAAATGGTTATAAGTTGATCCAAACAGACAAGAGACCAGGGCCAAACATCCAACCCACCCTGCAGTCTTTTCTATCCTTGCATCATCCTCTGTACCCTCTCTCCATAGGAGTCTCCTGACTTGTGTGGTTTGTGCTGTCTTCAAGATGCGGACTCCCTTGTAGTCCTAGATGCTTTTCCGTGGATGCCATGACCTGCTTGCGCTTTGATGTCCTGAGGCTTTCTAAACTTGGAACTTCTTCAAACAAGTGTTTTCTAATAAAGAGATGATTTGGGGCATCATTGCTTTTTGAACATTTTAATTTTTATTATGTATATTTATATGTGTGTGGTATGACGTGTTTATATGAGTGTGTGTGTGTGTGCATGAGTACCATGTGTGGCATGCATGTGGCAGTCAGAAGATAGCTTTCAGGATCTGGTTTTCTCCTTCCATCGTGGGCTCTGGGATTAAAGTCAGGTCATCAAGTTCTCTTAACCACTGAACCTCATGCTGGCCCCATCCTTTGCTTTTGACTATTTAAATCTCTTGGTTCTTACAAGTTTAGGGGCTTGGAGAGTGTCCCTGCAAATGACAGATCCAAATTAAAAGAATGAAACATTCTTGTATCATGGATGATATCAATCATAACCATATATCTAGATCCCTGTTTACTAGATTTAAAAGAGGTGATGAAACTTTTCAGTCACTCTGTACACCTGGAGAGAATAACCCTAAAAACCCTAAAAACGCTCATAACCCTTTTCTTATGGGACTTCAGAAACTACCTTCTCAGAAAGGTCAAGTAATTTGTATTCCTATAGACCACAGGGAATTCCTTGATCTGCTGGTGTGTTCAGTCCCATTATCCACAGTAGCATGCCATTACCCAGTTTCAGGTATTTTTCTTCAGTTTCCTTTTGGAAGTAAATATCCCATACACCGATATATTAAGTCTCCTCCATTCCAGCAAGAGGAAATGTGTTAAACAATGCCATCTTATAGAGACAAACCAGAGAACTAGATAGAGTAGTGGGGAGGCATGTCTTCCAAATGGAAGCTTTGCTGCCTAACACCCTGTTTTCCAATGTCTAAGAAGCTCCAAGGAAGACAAATTATTTAGAAACAGAAACCAACATAGAGGAGTAAAGATTGTTTTCCTATTCCAGATCAGCCACAGAAACCACCTGTCTTCAGTAAAATCTATCTTTCTCTCCATGTTTAAGTCTATCATTTCTACATTGAAAAGTTTTGTGCAGAAATACTGAACTCTATTACACATATGTTGGATGAAAGGAAGCAAGGTTGTTACACTTCTGTGATTGTGTGGTGGGAATTGGACTGACAGAGTTATTCATTAGTATGCTTATGGAAATGTATGAATGACTTTCAGTGTGTTCAAATGTCAGTAAATTTACGCCACCAAGAGGCACGCACTCAGGGGTCAGAGTCCTTGGCCCTTTGGCTTTAGAAAATATAGCCCTCTCTAGGTACAGAAGCCATCATTCCATTGTTGTGAGGGTTTGTCACTGTCTCTGTGTCCAGTGAACAGAGCACAAAATACAGAGAATTTTCAAGCTTCAGAGCTCACTGAAGTTGGTTCTTTTGAGGTCTGGACTTTGGGGGGATGGGAGTCCATTACTCCTTGTTATCCCCCCATTTGGAATGGGTACTTATACAATGTATATATCACACAACTATATTTTGGAAGTACATTACTTCTGTAGATTATATTAAATGACACAAGCTACAGCTAATGGTGGAATAAAGAAGCCTTTTTAAAAGTTTGGAATAGAATAGCCATGCTTTGTGTATAGGAAGGACAAATGTTAGAAGATAGAGTGTGAGTTGTTATAGGTTAAATCAGATTCCCTGTCAAAACAAATGTTTTCTTCGAAGCCCTAGAAACCAAAAATGTGAGAATGCTTGGAAATAGGATTCTTGAGATGGCCTTGTAATCATCAAAATGAGGTCACATAGTGGTTCCACACGCAGTCAGTAAAGGCTGGTGTCCTTTAATCTTTTTTGCTGTTGTTTGTTTGAGAATTTCATGCATTCATATAGTGTGTTTAGATCAAATCTATATCCCTTTACCTCCCCTCCAATTTCTCCTTTATCTCACCTACCACTTTTCATTTTTAACTTCACATGCTCTTTTTTTAAAACCCATTGAGTAGACTTAGAATGAAGAGATACACAGCAATCTCCTTGGGGTATGGGTAGCCTCTCAGGGGTTGCATCCCTGAAGAAAACTGACTCTTCTCTCCCAGCAGCCACAAATTGCCAATAGCTCCTCAGTTAGTGGTGGAACCTCATAAGCCCTTCCCCCATCCTTGCTGGGATTTTCACTGGCTTGATCTGAAAGTTCTGTGCATGATGCCACAGCGTTTATGAGGTCAAGTGTGTAACAGCCTCGTCGTGTCTGGCACATAGTGTTTCATTGCAGGTGTTCACTCCCTCTGACTCGTACTGTCTTACTCTCCAATCCTCTTGAGATTTTTCCCTGAATCTTTGAGGAGAGAGCATGGAATAGATGTCCCACTTAGAGTTGAGCACTTCATAGTCTCTATTTCCCTGCACATTGACCAGTTGTGTGTCCCTGTATTAGTCACCTTCTCTGATGAGAGTTGAAGGAGGCACTAATCTATGAGTATAAAGACAAGAACTTATGAAGAAGTTTATTGCTATATCCATTTATCAGAATAATAAGATCGGGTTCTCCCCTAGGGCCTATTACCTAGCCAGTCACAGGTTTTTGGCACAGTTAACAGTGCCATGAATAAGTTCCATCTTGAAGAGAGGGCTTGAAATCCAATGAGAAAGTGTTTGCTCCCATAACATTCATGCCACTATTGTACCAGTGAGTACACCTTGCAAGACAAGTCATTATCATAGCTCACAGTGTTCACAGCTAAGTAAGACTTGATTTTTTTCTCTCCCAGTAGCATGCATAACACCTTCCAGCACTATGAAATCTAACCAATAGAGTTGAAGCTTCTAATTTAGTTTTATCTTGACTTTTCCATGTCCTATGGAAGCAATAGGATCTTACCATCAAGTTCTACATAGCAACCAAGACCACTGGCAATAGCCTGTAATATTTGGGGGGGGTCCGTACTTATAAGCAGCTTGGTAAGATGTAACCCATACCTGACACCGAGCTCTTAGTTTCTTCTGTTTCTGTTTTAAGATTATGGCTCACTGTGCTTTCCAAAGTAATCTTGAATTGGAGATCCTTTGGCCTTAACCTCTGGAGCATCAGGGATATTAAAAGCATATGCAACTGTCCCTGTATAAAAGGAGTAAATTGGAGTCATGTTAGAAAGACAGGAAAAATTATGAGGACTTGGAAGAGACAGGAGCCCCTCATCCCAGAATCTGGTTTAAGCCTCTTGCCAGCTAAGAATAAAAAAATTCCTACACATGAGACTGGAGAGTTAAGGAGTTAAGGACTCGGCAGTTAAGAGCACTGGCTGTTCTTGCAGAGGACCCAGGTTTGGTTCCCAGAATTCACATGACGACTAACAATCATTTGCATCTCCAGTTCCAGGGGATCCAATTGCCCTCTTCTGACCTCTGTGGGCATTGCATGACATGGGTGCACTTACACACGTGCAGCAATGCACTCATACACATAAAATAAAATAAAAATGATAGGAACCACAAAAATTCCAACACAACACTTGTGCAATGTCTTTACTCTCTTCCCAGCTTTAAACCTACAGTTTTCTAGGAGAAATTTTCTCACCAGAAACCACACTTAACATAAAAGGACATGACCTAACTCCATTGCGCAACCACTGTAGTGACTCATGTTTTATCTTACTGGATTATAATCCCATCCATGGCACTTCTGGAGGCATTTTGCAATCTCAGTGGTCACAAAGGGAAATAAAGACAGAGGGGAGGTGGTCCCTTTAGAAACCCATGGAACCGTGAGATCCCCAAAGCTCCTGACTGGGACAAGTGTGCCTCTCACCTGGGAAGCACATGCCTACACTTGGGTATGTCTCTGTGCACCTGGGTGCCTGTCCATCAATCCCTGCCCCTACATCTGTTAAGATATCTTTTAATAATCTCCAAGTCTGCTTCCTACTGGCTTGTTCTAAAATTCTTTTCTGTGGTGAAGCCAAGGATTCAGCTTTAAAAGGCCCCAAATGGCCAAAACACAGAGAATAAGAGTCAGTAGAGTGTGAGTCCTTGGACAGGACTCCTATATTGAAGTCCACCCACCCGGGGCTCAGGGACCATTGTGAAA